AATGACAGTCCTCTCTGTGTGTGAACAGCAGAAAGCTCAGAATACAGCCCGACGTTGATTCAACTGTTCATCTTCAGTCCAGGTTTAACTTGCTGCTTCACACTCTGCTCATCTCTCAGGCCAAAGACGACCTGATCCTGTTCTCCAGCTCTCCCAGTGAGGTGTCATCCCCCCACAAGGCCGAACAGGAAACAGCCGTCCAGCAGCAACCGCAGACGGTGAGAGGGAGGGAAATATGGCCACACACCAATTAATGCTAAAAACATGAAATTAGAAATGGAAAAAAGTTGGCCCAATAGAATAGTTCACATTTAATTTAAGGTCTTTCTTCTTTCTTTTGTTTCCATGAAAGAAACACCCTGTATTTATCCTGTTTATCCTGATATATTTACTCCAGTGAGCGACCTGACTCGTTGCGAATGACATCTTAGAAGCGTGTGTGATTGTTTTGTGCAACTTTAAATCATGTGTCTCCAGTTTGTTTGCCGTGACCTCACACATAATTGTGCAGTGTTTGCAGTTTGGACTGTTCTGTTGTACAATACGTCATCGCTTAATAAACTGTAGCTGAAGGAGCTTTAAGCCTCTTTTAGGTCATTGTTTTGATGTTGGACTCAGCTTGTAAAATACTGTCGGTTGAAACTAGGAGCTATTTGCATATTGCTGAACAACTCTGACTCTGAGCCATTGTCAAGTTTCCAGGAAGGCAAACATAGTGTAACACACACACACACACACACACACACACACACACACACACACACACACACACACACAAAGATGGAGGACGTGACTGAGCCTCAAAAATGAAACCAAAGCATCTTTATCGCTCCCTAGTGGCTGATTACAGTATAGGTCATAGACCCCACCTTCCCCATGTCAACAGATGGAACAGGGACCAAACTAAAAAGTCAAAGTACAAGTCATATACTTTTCTTATGACGTTTAGTTGCAATGAAAAAATAACTCCGCCACCCAAACAACAAAATGTGTTCACAGAGATGTTGTGATCCCAGTTGATGTTTGTCTGCTCCACATGTTAAAATATGGATACGCACATACTCGCACCGATTGGCTGTGAGTATGTGTGTCACATACACACACCCGCAGGGGTCAACAATCAGACCCCCTCAGGACCTCTTGATGCCATTATCAATACAAGAAGGTATATTTCAGAGTAAAAGTACAAAGACAATACAACGACTTCATCAACATGTAATAATCTTGAAAAGGGGAAGCTAACAATGAGACAGAAATTGCTGGAACTCACCAACGTCTCCTTTTCCTCCTGCAGTCCGGCCACAGCTCCAGCCAGGCACCCGTCCAGAGCAGCGACCGGCGCTCAGGCCCCCGCGCCAAATCGCAGCTCCCCGTCCCCAGCAGCAGGGGGCAGCAGGCACGCGTGTCCACCAGCAGCAACAATAACAGCGGCGGCAGCAGCAACAGCAGCCCCATCCGAACCCAGACGCCTCCCAGCCGCAGCAGAACAACCAACAGCAGCAGCAGCAGAACAAAGCAGGTTTCACCCAACAGCAGCAGCAGCAGCAACAACAACTACTACCGCAACAACATCAATGACAACAACCGATCACACGAGGACATCTGGATCCTCCACAGAGACCTGCATGAAAACAACAAGTAGACACTCCTCCCTCCCTCCCTACCTCCCTACCCATGATTCCGCTGTGAACCTCCCTCCATGATGTAAAGACTAGGTACCTGACGACTTTTGACTTTTAGTATTTGTACTTGTTAGCTGTACTTGTTACACTGTACTACAGTTGTGTACTTGGGGACCATAGTTTTATTCTATTACAGTATTTGAAGTATTTGATCGTCCGAGGGTTTGGTAAGAATTGACGTGGGCGAAGTAAACAACAGAAGGTAATGCAGCAGGTTACTTTAACTGTTGCCTTATTCCAGTGTATCAACCTGCATATTATGGGACAGTATTCAGTAACAGTGTAAGGATTTGAGAAATAAAGTATATGATTGGTGGAAGCTGACTCAGAACAGTCGTGGCACAGTATTTTTGTGTACTTAAAGTGAAATACTGTACTTCTCTGTTTTAAGGTCATTGAAGAGTAAGTGAACATATTTATAGGTGTTACTTTTAAAAGAGAAGGGTCTTTGGATCAAAGGAAGAGTTGAGCAGGTTTTTATTTTCTTTCTTTCGTTGTTTTTTTGCTATTAAGTATTTTGAGATATTCAAGTGTTTTATCTTTAAATAGTTGCAAGGTTGGTTTAAATACTGTTGAAATTAATCAGGGTTTTACCAAATATATTTGTAAATAAGAATTAGTATGTTTAAATGCTCTATAGATTGGTGTATGTGGTATGACGCTTGTACAGTGACAGAAACCTTAAAGTAAAACTGCTGGAAAAAAACAAACTAACTTGTACATAGTGTTTGTAAGATGAGTTTGGTTCTGAATCCTTCACTTGTTTCAAAGTGAAGGGGATGTGGCAATAAGTAATAGAACTGTATAAACACAGGATGTCCTCTGTCAACTGTAAGCCATAATAAATATTTTAAATGCCCATCACTTCCCCCGAGTCACGTTCAATTTAACCCCAGCTGAGCCCTACACTGTAATTCACTCTCTTCTGCCTTTCACTACCACTGTGTTCTTCGTATGTGTTTATTTTTAAAGACAAGTTTTATTTTGAGCGGACATTGTTTATATATATATACAGGAGAGATTTTAGTCCACTTATGATTTGGATCTGTTCGACAGCTGTTTGAGGTTTAAAGAATTGTCTTTCAAGCACAAACATTAAAATTGTTAAAAATCCCCATCGGATTAATTCTGTTCTTTTTCTTCTATTGAAACACAGGATCCCACAGAGCCCACACAAAGACCTTCATGGTGTTTGTGCAACATATGGAACTTTGGACTCGATAGTTCTTAATCCCTGTTAATGAAAAGTGTTTTTTACACCCAAACGTATCACGGCTCTAACGCTCAGGTTTTATTACTGTTTTTCTTCTTCAGGTATTCTGTCCTGCATTCAGCTGTGAGGTGACGTGAAGGAGAAAATACTCTTGTGCAAAACATTAGCTGTAATCTGTGCTAGTTTTGAGGATGCATTGTGGTACACACAGGATATATCAACTCCAGACTGGGTGTGTGTGTTGATGCAAATTACTATTCCACGATGCAGTACACAAGGAAATGAAGGAGCCACTCACAGCTGGAAAAATTCAAATAAAGCAACATTGGGTAAGTTTGTAAAAATGAATGTTTGTAGTATGGACTTTGTATACTGTTTATAAGCTGTTGTGACTGCACTGCATTATGGGAGACACTAGGTAGGTAGATATCACAAATAAAGGCACGCATACCATAGACGATATACACATGGATGACATGACTGCTCCATTGAAGTGAAGCCAAAGTGTCTGATTATTCCTTGGTGGCCGGCTGCAGTATAAGACATAAACTCCTCCATGTTAGTGGATGGAACATGAACCAAACTCAAAAGTCAAACTACATGTCAAATAAATGGTTCTTATCACACTGATGTAGATCAAGGCTACATTTCTCAAGTTTTGGTTAAATAAGTTATTTGATGTGGGTAAAGAAGGGGTGCAATGTCATGACTGACAGCTGAGACTCTTGGATTTGGTTGTGAAAGCTGCAGACCCTAATCTCTACTGCACAGACTCTGGCACCGACGTCGTCCGAGCAAGATGGCAGCGTTCATACGTGGGATATTTCATTTCTCGGAGGAAGTGGAAATGTGTCCATCTTAACATAAAGTCAACAAAAAAATTGTTAAACACAGACAAAGGTTTCGAACATGTTTCAAATGTGTGCAGACACTCACATTGTTGTGGGTCTGTTTTAGAATGACTTGTTCAACTACGCCATTTTGTTGTCTGCATACTTTTGGCCATGTTAAAGAAAATGTTATGATGGAGTCAGTTAGTCGCATCCACCTCGTAAACAAGACCCAAAAATAAAACCGAATAACCGTGATTAACACACGTTTTGACAAAAATTACAAAAACACAAGTACAATTCTCAAAATCTATAGTTTTATTGGAAATATAATTGATTGAACAAATACATTTATACATTTTTTTGGACATCAGAGTCCTTTTCCTATATGTAAGAAACAGCTTTGTTCTTAATTTACACTGTAAAAAAATCTTAAACGTCACAGTTAACATATCGAGGCATTTCTCTGCGGTACCTTCATTTTCTGCATCACTGCAATACAAAACAATTATTCAGTATGAAAGGAGAAACACTGTCTTCCCTTAACCAAAGAAGAAAATACAATGACGGAGAAGTCAAATAGTTTCCAGTTTCAGAGGGAAGCATCAGATACAACAGGAAAAAAAAAAAAAAGATATTAAAATCTGCTAAATGTTTTGTTTGTGCTGCGATGGCTCTGAAAAAAAAAATTTGACATTTACACTTTATGGTGTTAAACAACATTGAATCATTTGACTGTTGAAAGCTGATGAGTACCTCGGGGTGTCTCTAAAGTGCATACAGATAGAAAATAAGGGTTTCTGAGTCATCACTCGTCAGGAGCGTCCGCCAACAGCATCACGGTGTGCATGTGTGTGTGTCTGTGTGTTGATAGCAGTGAAGTTACTGTGGAGTAAGACTGTGTATTATAATAATGAATAATACTCAAACAATACACATGAAGCCACTGCACTGTCTCATTCTCACTTAGCTTTAATCAAATAATGCAGAGATGTCTTGAAAACAGTTTCAGACCAAATCTTTTTTGATCTTGACTTAAAACCAATCAGCTCCAAAACGTAATCATTCAGGTTTACCCTCTAAAGTAATATTCCCACCGAGTTTGGTGAAAAGCTGTGTTGTTGGGTTATTTTGTACACACACACACACACACACACACACACAGGGTGAGAATGGAAGCGTATCTGCGGTGCGAGGAGGAATCAAAGCAGTAAATCACTTGAGTGTGGATAAATATCAAATATATATATATATATAAATATATATATATATAATTTGATGTGCAATTGTATCTGCATAGTTTCCTGTTAGCTACATGAAGCTGGTTGGATTCGGTGCATATGATTGGTCATTGAGCCCATTTCAGAGCTGTTAAAGGTTTCTGATGTAATTGTTCTTTCGAGAGAAGCTCCGATCTGATCACACCCTCACTCAAGACGCCAGACTTCTACCGAGGCTTCGCTTGTGTCAGGACAGTTTCGAGAGAACGAAAAAAACAGGTTTCTTACAAAGTTCAAACCAAAGAAAATGTTTTTTAAACAATAACGCAAAAGAAAACCTGTGATGCAGTCGATGCTTTTTCAAAGCAGATCATGTTTTGGCCCCAGACAGAACATAAGAGAGTAATATTAGTGTGGGGGGGACTCCTACATACTGTCCTCCACATAAAGGCACCTGTTTGACTGAAAGTCCCTCGAGCTAGTTCAACAACAAAGTGTCCAACTAGTCAGACTGAGGCCACACATTTGTGTTGTGTTATGTGCTTATCCTACAATTTGTTAGTCATTTAGTTTTGCCCCTGCCCTCTTTTACGTGGAGGATTTTATCTGCATCCATGTGTTGGTGATTGAAATCCTCTCCCTGCAGCACATACACAAGCTGGTTTATGTTTCTCATTTGGTGGCAGACTTACACCGACAGCTTCTATAGCAGCTGTCATACCACTTTGTTTTTATTCTGCCATGTCGTATCGTGTTGGTCAACAGTCAACACATAACTCATAGAAGGATCTGTCAATAAATATGAAGTTGTATTTCTATAATCTGTAATAGACCTGATTCATATTCATAGAGCATTTCAGATTTATACACACAGTTGTTCCCATACAAACATTCAGACTAATCTCTTCTATCACTTGTATCAATGTAAAATTAAGTCAATAAATTATCCTCATTCTGCGACAGTAGTATTTAAGTTAATCTGTATAAATTGGTTCATTTTATCCACGGTCAGTTTGATCGACCATGGATTTGGACTTTCATCAATTTTTCTACACATCACATTTTTCATTTCACTCTAAATAAATTGAGCTATTATCTGGGTTCTTTTCCCATCATGAGTAAAATGCTGTTTTCCAGCACTTGGGAAACAAAGGCTCAGAAATATTAACCATTTGTTGATTCAACTCAACTGCATCAAAACACTGGATCAAAGTGATTAATGTTCAGGCACTTGTGTGTATTTGTGTGTCTGGCCTGTTAGAGGCGCGTGTCCTGGACTTCGTCCTCAGCTTCCTCCGGTAGGGAGGAGATCTTGGCGGTCTGCGGCGCGGCCCTCTTGCTGGAGTTGAGGCGGTGCAGCGTTGGGAAGAGGCGTAGCCGATCGGCAGGGCTCATGGCCTGTTTCAGGTGGCTCGTCTCGTTCAGGAGTTTCTGGATGGAGTCGTAGGTTTTCATGGAGCTGCCCTCGATCATCTGGACGGACAGATGAAATGAGAACTGGGTTAAATGTCTGCTGTCTTCATTCTGTGTTTTCACTTCTATCCAGGCAAGAGCAAAAACATGGAGTAAAACTAAGTTCAATGTAAATGCTTAATGTAGGAAAAACATTAGTAGATGTTACAGTACTGACATTTCAACAGTGTGGATCTATATCTACAGTATGCACATCTACTATCCTACAGCTACAGCGACTCCTAAAGGCTGATTCATGCTTCTGCACCGTAGCTACGCACAGGGCCGAGCATTCACAGTTGTGCGTAGGTGTGTGTGAGTGGCGCTGCAATTACACCACTGAAACACTAGTGGCCGTAGAGTTTTCTATGCTGGTGTCTAGTGTCTTCCGGTTCCAGGCTTAAAACACAGTGTAACTGATGCAGTTTGGAGTTGAATAGAATTGTCGGGGCTTGCGGACACTCGGATGACACCACACGAGCAGTACGGAGGCATGTGATGTTTCTTCTGTTGATTTATTACGTCTGAAGTCTCGGTCACCAGTTACTTCACTTGTATCTGATTCGGCTGCTACAAAGTTTACTTCTGAAACTCCAGAAGTGTTTCCTGGACTCAAACACTTAGATAATGAGTCAATGTTTGATCCCTTTAACTGCACAACAGCTGGTAACAAAGACAAAAGGGTCAGCAACGCTTGTAATTGATTATCGATGTTGTGTTCCACTGGTAGCCGAGGCTAATGCCAGTCGCTTTCTTCAATAAGGGGGTCATGTGATGAGTTAAATACAGTCCACACTTAAATTCAGCACCAGGGTTTTCATTCATATCAGTATTAGAGTTAATACATTGTTAAACAGAAAAATACTCGCATGGATGTAGAGATGAAGAGGTGTTTCTTATCATTTGATAAAAGTTTATCGTGGAAAGGCACAGCAGGCCGTTTCTTCAGCGGGGCGCTAAAATGATCCCGAAACCTCGACGTTAACAGAGACTGAACGTTTATTCCAAAACTCACCAGGAATGATTGACATTCGAGCAGCGGCTCGACTCTGTGCTCTGATAGGATGACGGTGCAGCCTGAGAACGCCTGCTTCAGCGTCTTCCTCAGGACCTGCAATGTTCTGCTCAAACACACACAAACACACAACGTTCAACGTCTCCATCATCATTATCAAAGGCCGTCTCTCTCCACTGCTGACACACATTATCTTAGTCGACATGAAAGAGCAGGCAGCGGTGGCCTCAGGTTAAACGTGATTGCTCATTGCAGGCTTCATTTACTATCATGACCCCCCTGCACGTATGGTAACACACATACACACACATACAGAGGTTACTGTAAGCACTTGAGATTGCCACCATATGCAGTGACAGGAACACTGCACATGCTCGATGTGGATGACTGATGCTGCACTGCGATATCACTTCACAGGATGCTACAAACACAAAGGAAATAACGCACAAATACACAACAAATCCTGGATCACTTTCAGGTGCTTTGGTGTGCAGTAACACGAGTATTCCTTCTGCTGCCTCCCACTGTGAGTCAGATCTGTAGAACTCTTTCATGTCACCAGCAGCATCAGATCAAATCGGAGCATTTGAGTCCGAGAATAGAGCTAGAAACACGTCGTCTTCCTGTCTCTGTGATATTTCACTTTTCCTCTGTGTGCTTTTCTGTACAGTGTGAGACACAGGGAGGAAAAGTCAAATATCATAGAGACAGGATGACAGGATTCTATCTGTATTTACTAGTGACATGAAAGAGATCTACAGTGTATAAGTGAATCCTTATTCATCTGTCTTGACAAATGTATATAAATTCTCACTTGTGACTCATGTTTGGGCTGTGTTTCTGTTGAAACTGTTAACACGACAGACGTATGCTTTTAATCGAATATACTGCTCTATAGGTATTGTATTTCCTTAATACAAAAACAACCTTTGAACTGGAAACTGTTTCTCTTATTTCCCAATTTCAAATTGTCAAAAATCAACTGAACTCTAAATAAAGTTTGGAAGCTTCATCTCACTTATCAGTGCAGAACATCGATTTCCCTATTGGATTTGACCATTGTCTCAAAAAGACTTGGAGACAGGTGATAAACACACAGGTTTGGGCAGCTACTGTATCCTTGTTAGGAGTTTGCATTGACTTCCATTCATTGTGGACAGCCTAACCAAAAACATTCTCCCAACCTTACCCAGTGCCAATTCATCCACTAACCTCCACCTAATGGCAACTCACATCTTACCCCTAACGTTCACCAGAAATGATGTAATCCTAGTCACCACGAGGTTCACTGGTCCTGTCCCATCAGTATTTATGCTGGAGAAGGAGGTAACAAAACTAGTGCACACACGGACACACACAATTGTAATGTTTGTGTTGGTACTGACATGGGGTCGAGGTAGGCGGAGGGCTCGTCCAGCAGCAGGATGCGGGCCTTGCTAAGGATGGAGCGTGCGAGACACATCAGCTGTTTGTGTCCATTGCTCAACACATTGCCTCCGTCCTCCAGCTGAAAGTCCAGCTTGTCTGGAAACTGCTCGATCACTGTCTTTAGACCCACCTGAGGACACACATGACAATTCATTTTACTGAGTTTTATTGTGTCCTGAGGTCTGGCTCATTCACAAATGATGATTTCCTGTGATAGAAGCACGAAACCAGAGATATTCAGCTCACAGGACAGTTTCCCTTGTTTATATGCCTATGGGATACTTGCTACCATTACGTCATGTGATTTCCATTGTAGATTTATAGTTAGTTACATTTTTATTATCTTTATTTTAAAAATGTTCAAATTCAAAAAAAGGGTTGATGCAGAAGTATAAAAACAATAAGTATGAAATCCTTCTGCCTCTGATTCCCCTGATATCCTAGAGGCATGGAGAGAAAAACAGGTAGATGATGAAAACACAGAACAGGCGAATTCACAGATCATAACCAAAATAGAGAGTCACCTCCTCAGCCACCCTCCACAGCTCCTCATCGCTGTAACGTTCGTGAGGGTCCAGGTTCATCCGGAAGGTTCCAGTCAGAATAAAGACTTTCTGTTCAATAAAACCAGACCAAAAATCAAAAATAATTAAGCTGCAGTTTGGATTATAGACTTTAAATTATTTCAAAAAACACATTAGACTGTCTGCTGTGTTTGGTTACAAACTGTCGGTTTTAAAAAGGGAAAGGTTTGTTAGGAAAAAATATTATTTTACAAAAAACTAAACAACAGATAAAATAAAAATACCTGAACAAGGGAGCTTCTCATGTGTGAAAACAATTTTAAAAGACTAGTCCAGTTTAATGTAAAAGGGAGTAGATTAAATTACAAAAAGCTTTTGAAGAAACCATCATCCTCAGACTGATTTCTTTCAGATTTAATTACCAGAAAGGCATTTCCTCCCTTGTACAAATTTATTATCTGTCTAGATTTCCTCTGTAGTCTTATCAGTTTGACCCACGTACCTGGGGCACCACTCCGAAGGCCTTCCTCCAGGTGTGCAGGGAGACGGAGCTCCAGGAGACACCGTCAATAGAGATTTCTCCATCAGTGGAGGCGAGACGCAGCAGGGCGGACAGCAGGGTGCTCTTCCCAGAACCTGTTCGACCCAGCAGACCCACCTACACGGACACACAACAGAAATATTTCAATCTGCTCGTCATATGAATGACATGGCTGCTACCCAAAAGTGAAGCCAAAACATCTTAATCGCCCTCTGGGGCTGGCTATTTGTTGGCTTGTCACAAAAAATGACCTCTTTCAAATACACAGCCATGTGATTCGGTGTTAGCATAAAATATTCACTTTAACAGCTTCAAACAAGTTACAGCCTGAGTCCGTCAGCATTGAAAAGCAAAACACATGAATGTGTGTTGACTGACAAATACTAGAAGCCGACTTTTCTGCTTCTGCACGTCTCTGGCTGAAGACACCGCCATGGGAGAAGGGCAGGGTGCACGCATGCAGGCAGGTTGGTTAGTGACAGACAGTAAGGCTGACCAATCATTTCATTCGGTTTGAACCAAATGATTGCTCATGTATGAAGCCGTCCTGTGAGCACCATGGACGTTAGCTTTTTTTCCCAGACGACTTTATTTATTGATGGTTATTGAAACGTGTTGAGGATTTCTACAAATACGATCAAAAGTATTTCAAATATAATACATTATACCTCTCTATGACCTCTCCACGACCTTGCTATGACCCTTTAATTGCAGTCGCCCTCTGGGGACAAACAGTGCTTTGATTATTGAAAATCCATTAAAGCAGAGTTAACATGCATCACTCTGCCAAGATTAATTAAAATCCAGTTACACATATCCCCCTCCCACACAAACACACACACACACACAGCAATCACTCAGGACTTACGCTCTGCCCCCCATCCACGGAGAAAGAGATGTCACTGAGAATGGCACGTCCAGCCTCTGTGTATTTGGCGGTGAGGCCCTGGACATCCATCTGGCCACGGTTGGGCCAGCAGTCATGAGCGTGAGGGTTGTCGATGACGAGATCTGGGCCTCCTTTACCGCAGGGCTTTCCGGGCATTGGCTCCTCTGATGGCAGGTCGATGAATTTGAAGACCCGATCCACTGAACGCATCTGGGAGGAGGTGGAGAGAGAGTGACAACTGTGGGTGACTGGGATGTGTCAAGTGTAGATACAAATTACCATCATGTTTGTCATTGTGAAGTTTTAAGGCAATTTTTCAGTCAAAAGTCAGCTCTTCTATATCTGTAGATCACCTCATATATTGTTCTTCTGCCTGTCCTGAGAGAGGGATCCCTCACTTTTGAGGTTTCTGTGTTTCTTTCCACTGTCCCTTGTTGAGGGTTAAGGACAGATGATCCTTGTAAAGACATTTAAGCCCTATGAGACAGTCTGTGAATTATTTATATGTATTAAACAAAAAGTTTAATATTCAGTTGTATCCATCCCACTGTACACAAGATAGTAGATCTCTTTTCTTGACTGAAATATTGTACAAAATAAAATCTAAAACGTTTTACAGTGTATTAGGTCCACCATGTCCAGTTCCTTTATGTGTAACATGAAACTCTTGTTTAGCTCAATCATAGCTAAAGTGCTATAAAGCTCAAAACAGCTGATATCACTGTGATATCAGCGATATCTCAGAAAACTACAAACCTCACAAAATGTTTTACTTTTTCAAGCAATGTTTAGCAAAAATAGATCAAATATGCTTTTGTGGATATTTTAGGAGCAACTCCTACCATTACTGGAAATGTTGTCATTATAATAACTCTCTCAGCTCACTTCAAACAGTGCCAACTGTAAGTGTGTGTGTGTGTGTGTCTGTGTGTGTGTGTGTGTGTGTGTACATGCTGAACAAAATGTTCTGCACTTGGATAAGCTCTGTCAGCTCCACTAATGAAAGTTGTGGGGAAAACAACCACTGGATGGGTACAAACAGGTTTAGAGCCAAACATGGTCTTTATACAGATTGATGACTGCTAAGGTGCCTGCAAGTCACACTTCATTTTCACCTTCTACAACCCTCCATGAAAAAATGTAGTGAATAGTAATGTCATATGACCAAAACCCAACCCTGTAACTATATTACACTACATTGTTATATGTTAGTTTTCAGGGGAACTAGTGCATCTGATGTTCTAAACCTGCCTGTTTGGAGTGGGCTGTTTTCTCAGTCTGGATTGTGGTAATGCTGAGTGCAGTTTTCTTTCGGAAGGTGTTAAATTGATCTGTAGAAATTGAGCAGTGGTAAGTGAAGACCTGCTGCTGGACTCAGTCTGCAGAGCCCTGAAGCCACGGCTGCTTTACAAAGAGCTGTTCACCTGTTTATTCAAAGTTCAGTGAAGCTTGACTCAGTATGCAGAGCCCCTAACGAGAGAATCACTTCTCGTCGTCATGATCGACAATGTCCATTACGTTGATTGGTCCCAGCTGCCACTGCTACAGACCCCTGGTCACCTATTTGATCAAACTTTTAATATTGAACATATTGCGTTTCCAAATCTCACCAAATTCTACACTGCATGTCCTTTGACCTTTACAAATATAGAGTACATGCATAGTGTGAAGCTGATAAGATGAATGGTTCCGGTATATATGATCCACAAGATAGGTTGTGATGATGTCTGAAAAGATAAGCTTGCAGGATGTGCAGTGACTGCAGTGTGGGCCACAGGATGCTCTTTCTCACAGGAGGATGGCCAGACATCCAGAGAGTAGGGTGTGTCTGGCACTTACCTTCAAACGTACAAAACACAGTCTTGAACTGCGTCTAAACATCCACAGTTCACAGTGTTGGTGCGAGTGGAGTGGGAAACTATGAGAAGGTTGAACCAGATGTGCCGAAACATTCTGGACCAGCTTGATCCTGTTGCAGATCCAGGTGTTAAAAACCCAACCCATACATGTTCAGCAGAACCTCCTCTAATCTGTGTGTTTGCAATGATGATACACTCTTGACTGGCCATTGGCTGTGTGGTATTTTAATGCAAGTCAGGTCTTACTACCCTGATGCAAACAATGATAGCAGTGTGTGTATGTGTGTGTGTCTGTGTGTGTGTGCACATACCAGTCCATCTACAGTGATGCTGGTGATGACAGCCCATTGGAAAGTCCCCAGGATGAGCATCGCAAGGGCCACAATGATGCCAATCTCCCCGGGTTTGTCTTCTGCAGAGTGAAGACACACACACACACACACAGTCATCTTTGCTGTCCATTCGAAGCGGTTCTCCCTGATGTCATTGCAGCACTCAGGTATTGCAGCTCCGCTACTGCCTCTGTTGGAAACTAATGAGCCGTGAAATGACCCTTTAATCTGCTCTCAACACAAACACAGGCTATGACGCAACAACACGGTCAGTGTGTGCATGTGTACTTGTGCTTCCCATTCATTTAATTCAACAAACACATGCTTCCTTTTCTACATGACATTTTATCCGGTGGCATTCCAACACTTTTGATTATTTTTCACAGACAAACTGTTCTGTTATGATCCTGATATCTGACTCTACACACTGTAACACACAGATAAGACTGAGGCTTCTTCACCCGATAGGCCCAGTGGAAATAATGAGGTGTTTACTAACTAGCTTAATGGAATTTCAAGATGTTCCCTCTGTCATTTCCAGCAGTGCAACACTAGTTCGTTCCGCAAGTCTATTATTTAATGCGTTATCATTACACGTGTTTTCGATATGTTGTTGTTCACATAGTTACTTGCGTTTCAAAAGGGAACCAATGACATCTCATGCTTTCGTGGTGCTCTTCCTGGTTCATGTAGGTACTTTCAGTTTTAGACTCACACTCAACTGGAAACTTTAACTTCATATCATATCCATCTATCTATCCACAGTCATCCCATCACTTACGGTTGGTTCCCACAGCGATGAAGGCCGCCGCGCTGAAGAACAGGACGAAGATCATGTCGCAGCGGAAAAGGAACCATCGCAGCGTTGACAGGTAGTGGAACCAGGTGGCCGTGTGGGTGTTCAGCGCCTTGTGGAAGAGCATTTCGAAGTAGGTCTGACGCCCAAATGCCCGAATTGTCCATAAACCCTTCAGCGAGATGATGAGGTGGGAGAAGATGGGGCTTCGAGCTGCAGGAGAGGAGAAGAAGCATATTTTAAAAGACACGTTTCAATACATACTGTTTGAACTGCAGAGTTAAAAATCAGTTTAGCTGGTTTTATTAATGAAACAAATTAGGTGAAAAAGAACAAGTGGCTCAGATTAGAAGTAATAAGACGCATGTGATGAAGGGAAAAAGAAGAAAAGCAGGAGAGGCATTTAGGAACAGAAAACATGTTTCATTGCTTGGACAGCCAACCTGCGTCAGATGGAAATTAGAGTAAACCAATTAGGATGATTTTACTTAATCAATCATGAGATAAGGAGGGAGACAGATGAAGCATGACTGAAAATAAAGATTTGATGTTGAAACATGTTACTACTGACGAGACTTAAAGACGAGGCTCAGTGAGCAAGAAACACACCAACATTTCCAGGGCAGAGAGCGGACATCCAATCACAGCAACCTTTCACTTAATGAGGTCACTGGGCTCTTTAGTAAGCAACCTGCATTTACAATTATATTCACTACTGCTGCATTAACAGTGAACTCAGTGGGCTCTTGGCATCAACACAAGTTTGACCGTCTAGTTTTACAGATATTAGTGAAAATCAGTGAACAGATAAAATGAGTGAAAACTTGTAAAAATTATGAGAATGAGGCCATAAATAATGAATTTTGGAATAATTTTGAAGACATTTGGATTCTGGAGTGTAAAATTAAAACTTTATTCTAAATTACGATTTATTCTAGCAACATTGTAACTTTTTTCCTGTTTAAATTTTGACTTTATTCTTGTAATATTCATTTCAAAATCTTGACTTTTTTTCTTCAATATGGCCCCAATACTCTGTTGTATGGAACAGGTCATTAAAACCTGGGCCATTTTTTGGGATGCAAGTCTACTTTGATCATAGAGGAACTTAAACATTTTAATTTTGTGTTCATATTGATGGGCCGGTCCACTACCACATGTTAATAGTTTCATTGATGAAGATAATTTGTACAGGGAATACCTCATTCAATAAAATACATGTTAAAATGATTTCCCCATCTAAGCACTATAGTAACACTTTTCAGTTGCATGCTATTTGTTTTTCAAGCCACTTTCTTTTCAAACCTAGTCTTGATACAGTTATCCTGTTTAGTTAGACATAAACACGGGACTTTGACTAATGTAAATAGAACCTTCTTATAAATACTGGAGTGACTAATACGCATAATTTCCACTGTATTTTGTCTTACATGGTGCATATGACACTAGAGGGAGCGACACCAGGATGGGGTTGGAGGAAATCCCTGCTCGGCTCATTTCTCTGACCCAGACGTGCTTTTAGCTGCTCCGGAAAAACCTCGCCATCACCACCCAAACAAACACTCAGTGACAGAGTTGAGAGCAGAGCAGTCCGGTGACCTGTTTTCTCCTCGCTTGTGGGCTGTTTTTCTAAACTATATGTATCTAAATATATGTATATATATATATATATAGACTGACCATTCCACAGACCGACCATTCCTGCAACACATGCTTATTAAAACTAATTTCTCTATAGTCCTTAGTACAATCAGTGTAAGCTACATGCCCTATAAGTAATGTGGAAGCAGCAGTAAATCATCTGTTACTTAACTGTTCGACATTTCCTGTTTACCTAAAGCACCTGACAACTGCCAAATACAAATGTGTAATGTATAAAAACTATCTTAAATTATTTTAAAACCCTTTGCTCATTAAATATAACTTATATTCACTTCCCCGAACTGCTCTCACTGCTCCGAGGGTGTCCATCAATCCTCTCTTGAAGCTCTTCCTCTGTCATGTTTTTGTTCTTCAGCGTGACCTCTGCCCTCTTGGCCCGGGGCCATCCACCAGCTCTGCCCGCTGATGGCCAGTTATGATGAATGTGGTGAATGCCCTCCCTGCCTCACTTCCTCTGTTCCTTCTATTGGTCTTCCTATCTTGTTTTCACTTGTACTCTTCCTGAATATTTGACATTTCATTATTGAGGCTTCTGCTGATCCTTCTCTGCATGTTGTCTTCCTTAGCCCTCACTCTCATTATGGTGTGAAATAGAAGATAAATTAAAATATCAAACATTTGATTGAATATATTTAAAGGCATAAGAAAGACTAGTCCTAATGCAAAGTCATGATGCAAAATAGCATTTTCTCTGCTTGTCCTTTCTTGAATGAGGACTGGACTACACAAAAGCTATTCAGAATATGCAAAGTCGGCTGAGAGACACTGACCTACTTGGTTACACACAGAGAAAAACACACCAAAAATATTTAAATCCACACACTACACAGTACCCTCAACCTCACCTTCAGCTTCCAGTAGTTTGAGTTGCTGTCCAGTTCGTAGAAAGTACTTCCTGAGGATAACAAAAATGAAAGCCAAAGGAATAGCAGCGATGAAGATGTACGGCCGCATGATGGAGACAGTGAAGATGGCACCCGTAACAATCAATGTCAGCTGGTGTGAGGAAAAAAGAGAATAATCAGATGTTGAGTTAAACAGATGAAATAACTCTGATTGTTTAAGTAGAACAAGTCCGTTATGTTATATCACATCATCCACTGTGTTGGTCGAATACCTGTATGAGGTCAAAGAGGACCAGAGGCAGCATGTCGTCTATAGTGGCCATGTCCTTAGTGAATCTGTTCATGATGCGACCTGGAGAAGGACAAATAAGAAACTAATTAGAAAATAGAGTCACCACATTGTGGTTGTTAGCTTCCACCAGCCAGTGTAGTTTAAAGTAAGATCACGAGACCTCTAACACTGAAATGTAATCAATTTGTTTTTGAGTCCAAGTGACAACTGGTCAAAATTTGAAGACTTGAGATATCATGTTCGGGAGGTGAAAAACATTTTGATTAGGCCCCTGTGACCTTGACCTTTGACCACCCAACTCTAATCTGTTAATCTGTGACAAAAGTGAACATTTGCTCAAAAATTCAAAGAAATTCTCTGATGGCATTCACAAGATATTGTGTTGACAAGAATTGGATAGACAGACAATCAGAGAAAATAATGCCTCCAGCCAAAGTCACCTGCACGGAGACACAAACTGTTCCCTCTAATTCACATTGTATGTTTATGTAGCTTCCCATTGTTAACAGCAAAGACATTATAAGGGATAAAAAAACCATTGCATAAAAAGTGTGTTACAACAAAGATGGTTGTTATATGACACATAGTCTGCAACACCCCCAATATATCTGTTGTCTGCATTAGGAGTTGTGCATGTATAGTAGAACTGAGTGTGTAATTGGGGGACGTCTTAGAGGCTCAATGCATAGACGCATAAAAACTCCTTTAGTATAATGTTCAATATGACTTAAAGGTTCAGTGTGTAGAATTTAGTGACATCTAGTGGTGAAGTTGCATGTTGCAGCTGAATACCCCTCACCTCACCCTCCCCTTCCAAACATGACAGAGAAACTGTGGAAACCGTCAGTTGTCATGAAAACCCAAAAGGTTTTAGTTTGAACAGTTTGGACTACTGTAAAAAAACATGGCGGCCTCCGTAGAGAGGCCCTGCTCCCGATAATATAAAGGGCTAGAAAATAGAAAGGGCTCATTCGTACAATTTAGATGAAACACACAAATGAAACCATCACTAGGATTTTTTTATATTCAATTTGTGTCAATAGATCACTTTCACCTAAATCTTACACACTGGACCTTTAACAGTTGTGGTTCTACATGCAGAACATTTCTGACATCCTGAGAAAAGCACCTGTCTTCATAGTGTTGAGCACAGCCATGGGGGCTCGCAGCACAGCGCTGAACATCTGCTCGTGCAGTCTTTTGGACACAGTGAGTAATGTGTGCACTAACGGGAGACCCCTGAAGAAGCCCAAGGCAAGCACACTCTCCGATGTGGCCACGTAGATATAGATGATGTAATAAGCACTGGTCGGTGTGACTATTACTGCCAGGTGGACGGGGGGCGAAGAAGCGTTTTGGTGCTGCTCAGTGATGTAGTTGGGTGATGAAGGGTTGGCACCATCCCTCCAGATCTTGCTGGTAGAACAGAGCAAAGGATGAAGAAAGAAACACGGACTGAATTTTAGACTAAGAACAGGCACAGAATATATAATAGCCCTGCCACTGCAAGTCTCTTGAATTTCAACATAAACACCAAAATGCGTAAGGGTTTAAATATATATGCACAACATGTAAAAACTGTTCAGTATGATACTTCATAAATCAAACACAAAATCCAACATTTAGTAGCACATACTCCTCAGAAAAATAAAATAAACAATTAGTAATTTACAGGACCATTTAAACCCTATCTTAACATATGTTTAACATATATAAAAAATATATACTTCAACATATAGCATTCAAGTCCTGTAGACAAGAAAAAATATGTTACTTTGTTTTGTATATTAATGATATGGTGGTAACTATAACCATGATAACAATTGCACTCATTAAACTGAAAACACCTTCAACATGTGTTGAAAACTACTACAGATTAGAGAGTTTCAGTACAGACAGCGTTTGTCTCAAAAACATGAAAAAGAAAACTTACTCAGTAATGAGGAAAATGCCAATGACTGAACCAGCAACCTATTGGTGGAAAGAAGAAATACAAACGGTCACTGCTAGATTAAATTAAAATGATATGAATTTTAAAAATGGTAATGGTTTAACCTCAACGACGAAGACAAAGACGATGAAAATGAGGACGTAGACTAAGCTCCTATTGGCGGTGATGTAGCGCAGGTATGTGCTCCATGAGGTAGTTTCAAAGACGTTCTCACGGTCATCTGCAAAGCATTGCTGTGGAGAAACAGGATTACTCGTAACACACAGTCACACTGAACATAAACTCTGGAAAATAAATAGGTGACACGATACATTCAAATAAATCTACTTATCCACACTAATAAGCCTTGAAAAAGGTTCTACCTCCATGTCTTCTTCATCCACTTCTTCACTAATGTCATAAACACTGTCCTTGGATAAGCGGCGGGCATAAATGTCCAGTTCGGACGCCAGATCACACTGCGGTGTAATAGACAGTTTTCTTCTGAAGGACGACTGCATCTGCTCTCTCCGCTCTTGACCCTGTGTGTTGGTGATGAATGCCAGGACAGACTGGCGCCTCTGCCCGTTGAAATGCTGCAACCCATGGTGGTACAGGTTCCCCCTGGGGAGCACCTCCTCTACCTGATCATCCTCAGGTACCACAGAGAATTTTCTCTCTGAAAGTTCACAAACCCCATCCTCTATTGTTGTGGACTGTGGTGCATTTGAGGTCTGTTGCGAGTTCCCAATGAAGGAAAACTTGCGGGCAGCTGCCAGGGGGCTAAGGATGAGGGACTGTTTGCGTTTTTCTGGGTATCCATCGCCCGCAGGGTGGCCTTGAGGTCCAGAAACAATTATTGGAGTTGGTGGCTGGCGGAATGACTGCCGAATTGGCTCTGGTCCTCGGAAGCCGGCAGTTTCATCTACAGAGACCCTGCGGAGAGTTTCTGTGAGAATGGAGCTGCGTCGCTCTGCGTTGATGTTATCGTAAGCTTCAAGGCCAAGGAGCAGGGAGCTGAAGTCGGGGCGCTGGGCCTGCAGCTCTGAGAAGGTGCCGTAGAAGTAGCAGTCTCCATTGTGCAGCAGAAGAATTTTGTCTGCCCGTTTGAGATGCTCCAACTTGCTGGTGACCACAATACGACTTTTGGAGGCCATAAGTTTACAGACACATCTGTGTAGTGATTCAGAAAAAGGGAGATTGTAATGACAAGTAGTCATCAAGTTTCAAAATTTACTTTCTTCTATTCTGAGAAGCATGCCTGACTGTAAAACAAAGGAGCTGCTTGTGGTGTGAAATCTTAAAAGAATAAGTTCACATTACATCATTATTTATTATTCAACTAAAAAGAAAAGTCCCATTTCCTGAGAAGGTTAGAGTGAAAATTACCAGTCAAGTAGCGTGTGGTTGTCACAAGCAGAGACAACCTTGACCTTGAACTTAAACTTTCACTCAGCTACCCCCACCTCCCCCACATGAAAGACTCTCTGTATGGAAACACACTTCTCAAAGATCTCTTTCTCTGTCACGATGTCCAGGTGGGTGAAAGGTGCATCTAGCAGGTAGAGGTCGGCATCTTTGTACACAGCTCTAAAAGAGAAAACAAACACATGCAGAGTGAGTTAGACAGAGGGAAAGAAAAAGATGGGAAAATGTGACAAATCATGACATATAGCCAAAATAATGTTAAGGCAAGATAAAAACAGAAAATAGAGAAAACGAAACAGAGAGCGATAAACAGAGGCAGAAAAACCTCCTATCTCAATAGTGTAAATCAATACGAGTGAGTATTAACAGAGATGACAGGAGCTAAAAACCAAGTGAGTGGTCGCAAACTGATGCCCTTCCTTTAAAACAGTAAATTATGCATGGGAACATGAGACTAATCCATGCAGATTTAATGGAGTACTAAAGCTGTACTGAGGCTGTAGAAAGCACTCATCAGTAAAGAGTGAGAACATAAAACAGTCACACAGATAACAGTGAGAGGTGATTGTTATCAGCTTTTGAAGTTTAAGATTATCTTCTGTGCAGGCTTGATTTACCACATTGTTGGGACAACACTGTAACAGGACATCAAATCCTAATTATGTAGCTTTTAAAGAATGGGACATCTTTTACATTAATGGATTATGTCCTAGTGATTTCTTTTATTGTGAGCTACAATGTGTCTTCAGACCTAGAGAAGTGAACTCGATGTTTAAAAGGAAAACAAAATGCTACTTGCTGAAAGTCTTAAGAGATTTGTTTTAATTGCAAGAAGATTTGTCTCTTTTCTTTTTCATGTTCTATTTATGTCCCCAAAAAAGCAAGATCAAACGAAGACAGGACAAAACAAAGACAGCCATTTTAACTAATGAAACGGGTGAATGACAGATGGTTGGGTGAGACAGGAAGTACCTGGCCAGGCCGAGGCGAGCCCTTTGACCACCACTGAGGGTTACCCCGCCTTCAACAAGGAGCGTCTTGTCTTTCTCAGGCAGCAAGGCAAAGTCCTAGAGAGGGGGACAAGGGATATGTGGATCAAACACATGTATGTATGTATTTTTCTACTACAGCAAGAGGAACTGTCAGACAATAGAAAGCTTCATAAAGACAATCAAACTAATTCTTTCATATCAGCATTTTCTTGCTTTACTCTACCTGTGTATCAAAGTAAATCTCAACAATCCAGCTTCTTCTTTCAGTCCTCATTCATTGTCTTCATACATGGAGGCTTGGTATTTATCATTTTTAAAATCACTGCCTCTTGTATTTTCTAAAATATGATGAGTCATGGAGCATGCTGTGCTGTACCAGCAATCTAAATGCTACATTTCCTGATACTAGGTCATTAGTTTAAAGATATGCTGTCAGCTCAAACTGTATCTACTTATTCCGATAACTTTGGAATAGAAACACATCATAATAAATAAAAGTTGATGGTCATACAACAGAACTGGCAAAATGCAGAATATTTCTAACTGATGAAATGTATCAATTAAAAGAGGAGAAATCACCATGTCCTCCGGCTGGGGTTTTTCTCTACTTTAAGACTAACAAAAACAGATCATTTTTACCCAGAAAATCATTGGGAGATAACAATAATAAATAAATAAATAAATAAAATAATATATAATTTTTGCTTTTTTTTAAAGATCGATAGAAAGTATTTTCATATCTCTATTGACTAAAATGCGCAATCAATCTTTTAAATAGTTTGATAAAACTCCACTTACTAATATATTCTTCTTTTTTTCTTTTTATGTTTTTATTTCTTTGTGTATGCAACAAACCATACAGCATACACCAAGACACAGTCAAATACATGATGTCCACCTGGTAATCAGAGTAATTCATGTTCACATGATGATCGCTGATTTATTGTCAAACCACACAAAAGACACAAACCACACATGGGATGAGAGGCACATGAGGTACATGTCACAAGTACAGATATATGGTGCATTCAGTGGTAAGTGATAATGAAAATAGACACCCACACCGATAAGGATGAAGTGACAGCACAGGTTTATCATCATTAAAACTTCCTACCTGTTTATCGTCAGCTTCCGCTGTCCTGACAGGAGCGCATAGGGGATCAAGTTAACAGGTTGTTTAACAGCTTGTAAAATAAGTCGGCACAGTAAAAAGACATGTTGTGTGTCTTACTGTGAACAAAAAGCACCTGCCGGGCCAGCAGCCTTGAGGCTGGAGGCAAAAGATGAGTTTACAGTGGCAGGACCACCCAGGGCTGTCTGTCTGGAGCTTTAGGGGGCAACAATAGTGAGGAATTACAGTCACAAGCCCACTAAACAACTTGTCTCTGTCTGGACAAATCTGCTTTAGTTGTCACTCCAGTCTGTCAGGGTTGCCCTGGGGATTTTTCAACAGTACAAAATTCTGTTTGCAGGAAAACTAGTCATTGTGATTAATACTTAAAGTTAAGGTTGGTTATTCATTTTTGAAATACTTGTATTTTATTTATTTCACTTCCATCATAGCTATCAATAAGAAAAAGAAAAAAGCCGGTGTCTGTGACCCCGCGCAGGACTGTTATTAACACGACCAATCATTTCATTTGGACAGGATGAGATGATTGGCAGGCAGACCAGTCTGTCACAAACCAACCTGCCTGCGCACTATGCTGAAACAGAGACGATAGTCAGAAGTTAGTGAGCGAAAAGTTGTGTTCTAGCAGTCGCCAGTCAGTGCACATTTATGTGTTTTGGAGGCAGAGCTTTGTCTAGAGGGACGATGGATGGAAGTGGGGTGTGTTGCATGTTTTCAAAGTGTAGCCTGCTATTGCTAGCTTTTCTAGGATCACCAACTCCAGCTTTAAATATATTGGTAACACCACTTCATAATGAAGCTTTGAATCTACTCATGTAACAGAAAAAATACCATCAATCTTAAGCAACCCAACCTCTTTTCATTTATGATAACCTCACTTCTATTAGCAAAGACAGTTTCAATCTTGATCAGTTTGCTATTTCACAGACATAGATTGTCCTTTTGAATAATATTACATTTCTGGACTTTGCACCAAGTGTAATGTCAGACAAAACAAATAGCATCTTACTTCAAACAATACTTTAGCTCCAACACTTTCATCTTAGAGGAGGCCTCAAGACTCAAATCACACAGGAGGACTTCCTGTCATTTCCACACAATACTGTATGAAGCTGCACTGACAGTGTGACTCCTCTCCATGCTTTTGTTATTTCAGTTTCACTGATGCGTCTCCTCAAAGACAAAATAGAAGCTGGCTTTCACACGCAGATGTCAATATTGCCTGCCAGCTCTGTTTGCTGTGACAACATGTTGTGTTTTTAATCCAAACCACTGAGGAGGGATCTGGACGTGGCAGTAAATAGATATGATGATATAGGCTGCTGCATTGATTGTAAATAAATAATACTAATAAAGTGTATTTAATGTAACAATTTAATGTAGCCATTGTTTTTCATTTGGACTTGTTACATTACTCACTGTTACTTCACTGCCTATATAATACTCACAAAATAGACTGACAAATAGAATATTTTTTATACTCTACATGTACACAAGATGAACAGAATCTCTGGGTCAAATATCTGATTCTTAGAGTGAATATTTAAATTGTTAATGTTATGCATTTACAACATTTAATGATGCATTATCATGGTGTATAAACTCACTAAGCAGTTTACAGCTAAGATGTAGTCACTTTTTTCTTCAAGCGCCCCGTAACCGGACTCTCATAGATATAAAACTAACACACCCACAAAGAGGGACAATTTTGCTTGTCATCTACATGCTGGCATTCTAATCAATTTGAAATCAACAGCAGAACCAATGAAACAGATCACAGCCTGTCTTATATTCCTACTATTACGTTTCAGGTCTAACAAACCCACAGACCTGATGGTTCGCCTGTACTACTCATTTGTGTGTGACGTCCACTACTGTTAACCAACAAGCTCATATTCCATCCCAATGAGATGACGTGGGATTTCCATGGCAACAGAGGAGACATTATTCTGCTGAGAGGCCGTCACTCAACACTGAGGCTCATAAGAGCATGAGTGTGTGTATGTGCATCAGCATATGAGACAGAATGTGCAGGCATGTGTGTCTTTGTCTGTGTGTGAGGGACATAATGGGTGTAAATGTGGACTGGGGGGAAATCTGAACCTGCTTGATGCTGTGCAGAGGCTCCAAAAGACAACTGAGCGAGCAGGCAAGATGGGTTTATACAGAAAACTGACATTTTTCACAGTACGAGTAGGTGATTTACAGTGACTCAACATATACCATGTTTATTGACATCTTTACCTTTGTTTGCACTTTTGTCTAGTGGCAGTGTTTGTGCATAATCTCAATATGTTCCTAACATATTTTCTCAAAACATGGCTGAACACACCTCTTTCATCATCTTGAAAAGCCTCGCTAACTTGTATTTTCTTCTATAAACAATGATGTGCGTAGGGTTGCAAAATTCCGGGAATTTTCAAAGTTGGAAACTTTCTATGGGAATTAACGGAAACATATGGGAATTAACGGGAATAAATCTGAAATTTACAAAATTGGAGGTTGGCCCTCAACAGGGAACTTAAATATAGTTGGGGAAAATATATTGTAGCATAATCTTGGCTAAAACAACCAGATTTACTTCACGTACACTCCTCAATCACATGCACACAGCACACTGCTTACTGCAGGGCTATTGAGGCCACACCCCCTACATGCACTGTGCATTCCTCCATCACATGCACATCTGATTTCAAGACTATTGAAGCCACACGTTTGAGCCCGAGGACTATCTGAAGTCAAGTAAGTTTTGAAAATATTATGGGGTAAATATATTTGATCTATAATAGTATTGATGGCTAGCTTATTATGGTGGCGGTAGCTACCTCAAATGTGATGCTGTTTCTTCAGACTCCTGCAAGATGGTTTTCTGTAACCATACAAGAATTCATACATCTATTGTCAAATATTTTGAAGACCATTCCAGTTGTTTAGCCAACTGTTGAAATGTCATGTTTTTTAATTGTATTATTTTGCATGGATGTCCGCTCATGACAAAACAAAAATATTTACATTTATATTTGGATATGATCCAGTTTGTTTAAATTAATTAATTTCTGTAAATTTACCGAAAATTTCCCGCTCCTTTGCAACCCTAGTTGTGCTTGATATAAACAACAGTAGATCTGTGTGGTTTGCATGAAAAGCAATCCAGGAGCCCTGATAACAAATTTGCTTCTGGGAGCAACGGCCAATATTTTGTGGCTTCAGGTGTAGACAGCAGATGTCCCACCCAAGACTCTATCTTCTGTTGGCCGTACACTGTTAACAGTCCGACTAGTTTCTTTTATAAATTCAGTCAAGCGTTTCTCCACAAAAACACTAACAGTGATCGTTTGCGTAGGTGTTTTAGGTCCAGATGACATTTTGGCTTATCTCTTTTAACAGCTATCTGCCTATGAATGCAGCTAAATAACAAAGCTGATGCATTTCGGTCAATGTGTTTTCTTCTTCTTTTGCTCTCCACACAGACTGTTTACCTGCGGCCAACCAAAGCTTGCAAAAATGTGGTCAAAATATAAAATAACAACTAATCAGCAGAACAGTAGAAGAGAGAGAAAAATAATGAATGGAAAGATGAAATAAATGTACCTCTTCTAGCTGGCAGGCCTTGATGATGGAGGTGTAGCGGTACTCATCGTAGGTCAGGCCAAACAGGATGTTGTCACGGATCGTCCCTGGCATGATCCAGGAAGTCTGTGGTGAGAAGGAGATGCGGCCACTGTGTCTGATTTTACCCTCTGATGGAACCAACTCTCCAAGGATCATCATGAGCAGTGAACTCTGGAGGAAAGGGAAGAAAAGATGTTCGGTATTTGATTACATTTTATTAAGATGTTGCTGTAATACGGAGCAGCTGGAATTCACTCAAATATTTTGGGTGAGAGGAATTTCTTTGACCTACCTTTCCTGAGCCAGTGGATCCAGCGACTGCCAGCATCTTGCCCTTTTCCAGGTACAGGCTAATGTTTTTAAGGACAGGTGTGACATAGAGGTTGGTGAAGAAGAGGCCAGCGTCACCGTTCGGGTGTCCATTTGCTTTGCTCTCCTGCTTAATCTTCTCAAACAGCTCACCTATGCCCTGCAGAGGAGTTGAAAAAAGGTGGAGCCTCTTTAGTATAAAATACAAATCGAAAAAATAAAAACAGGAAGACTGAAACATACATTACATTGTGTGCACTTTGCCTGCATTTTATATAATCAGACATTCATCTTGAACAGATTTTACATCTAATAATTCTAGAAATCTCAGAGGGTATCTCAAGAAACATTAATCTAATCTGCTTCACACTTGGCCAGTGTATTGTTGACGGCACAAGGATGTGCAGTGCTGAATTTAGTGCAATTTGGACATGCAATACATAAAAACTGACGACCAGTGCTCTGTAGTAGACACAGCTGGGACTCATCAACGTATGTGACATCGTCGATCAGAACAGCAACGACATACTGATTCTCCAGTTCAGGGTTCTGCAGACTGAGCTTCACTGAACTTTGAAAGAACAGGTGAACAGCTCTTTGTGTGGAGCAGTATCAGGGTTCTGTGGACTGAGTCCAGCAGCTGGGATTTACTTACTGAAGCTCAATTCTTGCAGGTAACTTTTACAGTTTCAGAAAGATTTCACCACACGTCAAGCAAACAACTTATTCCAGACAGGTTTGGAATGGGCACTGCACTAGTTTTACATAAATACAACTAAGTGAGTGTGTCTGTCAGGCAGTGACACCAACAACTGTGAGAAACCAGAGACTCTCCAAAGACAGAGGACAACTCTCAAGCCTTCACAATGGCCTCATTTCACCTCATCTGTCACTGCCTCTGTAAAGATTAATGGCTGACACATCTTGCTGATAGAAAAAGGGGAACTCTGCTGGACTCGCCAGCTTAATCATTGACCTCAGTGACGTCTATGGGTCACCGTTCCCCTAATGCTTGGGCTTGCGGTGGTTTGTGTAGGTTTGCCAGTGCAATTCTTATTCTAATGAGCTGACGTACGTGCTGTCAACTGTAAAGAAAGGCAACACCCCTCCTATTCATCAGCGAATGGCACATTCCAGGAAGAGGAGAAAGCAAGAGGAGAATCTGGGAATTAGGCGATCAACGCAACTCTGAATGTCAAAGGGAGATCCAGCGTTCCCAGCAAAGGTTTGGTGATGACACCAAGGTAATTAATTATGCGAAGTGATAGAAAAAAAACAGCGTTGGATATTTGTTTTCTCACGGTACTGGGTGGTCAATGAATTACACCTATTAGACTACGTTTACAGTCTCTGCCTATAGATAAGATTATACTCCCCATTCCCAGTGATGATGAGGCTGTCACTAATTTACCTGTGATGCACAGTGGATTTAGGGGCGCTGGGAATTTAACTTCTTTAAACATCTCATTGTCCTCTCACAGTATTGACACACACATACAGTAAATCTACTACAGCCCATTATGTTGAACAAGATAATTTACCAATCTGACCTTTTGGCTCCTCTGTTCTCCCTTAAATAAAGCAACAGCTGAATATTAACATCAGTTCAAACCTAATTTTGTTATGGTCAGTTTTCCGCACACAAGGAACAACAGCACCTTTAAGCTTTATTAATTCTGAATCATTCTGATGCCAAACTATGATTTTTATGATTTAACATTCTGATTATGGTCAATTACACATTAATAGAGATTGCAGGAAGCTGTAGCAATATTTCTTTAGCAAAGGGGGCTGTGTTCGGGGTGTTTTCAGTGGCTTTTAGCTTGGTGTTGCACTGTGAGCAAATATCATGAGAGCACGTGATGTGTACATGTCAAAAATAAAAAACAGTTTCTCCTGTCAGTGGATAGGGGAGGTGGTGGGAGAAAGGGAGGATATATAAGGGTTAAGTGTGTTCTTTGAATGGTCCTTCAAGCCCGGAGTAAGCTCCCTAAGATTCTGTGTTTAAATGTGCACCCCAGTTAGAAGCTCTATGATCGTGCCATTCATATCACACTTAAAAATTAGAGTATTTTGCATTGTTCTTTGAGCCGAAGTGAGCTCCTAAACCAGAGTGTACCGAGGAGGAATCAAGACGAAGACCACATCGAGAAAAAAGGCTGCCTTGTTATGTCCAAGACTACCATATAGAACTGTGCAATCAAACCACCGTGCGGGACAAGGCACTGGGCCCTTCGCCTCCAGAAACTGTTCTTCTTAGATATGGCACAGTTGTAAAGCTTGGTTGAAGAACTTAAAGATAGACTTGAACTGTATGAGCAGTGTAATTCTGAAGAAGATGAACATGAAGAGGGCTGATGAACAGATTCATGAAAAATGTGATGACCAGCACAGCACCCTTTTACCAAGGGAAATACACACCTTATGATATAGCACATGTACTCAGAGTCTATACATTTTTTTATTAGCTCTGTTTGTGTGAGCCAAGCGCCCCTAGCTCCCTACTCTGCTAGTCAAATCTCCTCAGCTCATGCTACTACCGGCCAACGGACAAGCACATGGCAGTCAAGCACTCCCTATTCACCAAACCCTCAGCCAAGCACCCTAAGCCAAAGCACCTTTCAGCCGAGCACTGCCTGCTCATGCATATTCCACCCAACTATCTTCAGTCTCTGTGCCTTTTCCACGGCACATCCAGTCCAAGCACCAAGGGGCAATTTATGACCAACCACCTGTAGCCCAGGGGTAGCACAGCCAAAAACCACAAGCCCAAATGCATTATGGTCAAGTGCTCTCAGCTCATGTTCAGCAAAGCCATCTATGACGTTTGATTATCATCTGTATCTCTGCTATTAAAGCCTGATACTTCACATCAATAAATATCACTATTATTAGATGACAGTCATTTCACAAAATATTACTGTTGCTTTTGACATAGAGACATAACAAACCTCATCCCACGATGCAGACACATTGACCAGTTCTAATTCACTCGTGGTGAGGTTGTACTCCAGCACTCTGTACTCTTCCTTCATCAAGAAGTCCTGGAAACAAAACAAACAAAAGACATCAAGGAACGTCGGCAGTTTAAATATACAATGCCTCATTTGCTCTGTACAAACCTGTTACAGTTGACACTTTTCATTTAATCTGTTGATGAGCAACACTGTGTGTTTATGTTTATACTGATTATACTTAAAGGCATATAACTGATTGATGGATATCTCTCTCGTCCCTAGACCCACCTCAATCTTCTTGACCAGTGCCAGTGTATCGTACCACATCTGGATGGATCCCGGCAACTGGCGGGTCAGTGTCATACGCAGGACCATGCAGTAGGAGGCTGTGGTGAAGATTCGACGTAGGATGATGCCTTTGCTGAGTGCATGAGGCACAATGGCTGACACGATAACCAAGATGGCAGAGAAGAAGTATGAAGCACTGTAGAAGTAACGCAGAGAACCGATCTTCCTCGTCAGAGTCATCTCGTCCCTGAGGAGAGAGGGGGAAAAACATATGTGCTTTTTTAGACTGTGTAAGTAAATAAATAATCCAAGTTCAATAAAACTTTCAGTGGTTTCAGATTCTATTTAAGCACACAGAGGAACTTTAATGCTGATAAAATTAAGTTCTTGTAATGAAGCATGACAGCACAAAAAAACACCCTAAAAAGGCACATTGGATAACAGTGCGTCACTTTTTCATGCTGCTATTATCAGGTAAATGTGAAGTCTTGTCCTTGTGTTAGCTCTGATACTAAGCAAATATTTCGGCACCATGACATCAAAACTCTTTCATACATTTATTGCACTTGCCAATTACTGTGATACTGCTTCTGGCTCTGACAGGCATCAGTTACGACAGCATGGTTCTGCAGAGTAACCACACGTTTTAACATCTCTCTCTGAATTCTGGCACCACGTTGACTCAACATCTACTGTACAGTCAAATTCTTTTAAATGTGATGTCGGCTGACTCTCTATGGTGCTTGTTTCATTTTAATTTCAGTTTATTACAGTATTTCTACAATACATGATGTACTGCACAGGGAGCATTAAAAAAAATCAAATAAGATTAGGGTTCGGGTTCAAATCATACAAGCAGATACATTGTTACAGCTATCATTTTGACCGAGAAAAGTTTAAAAAAAACAATTAATAATTATATAATGATTTAATAAAAATAGGACATTTTCTTGAATCATCTTGTGAAGTTGTGGTTGTGGTGGTATCTTACTGCCTTATGTTCTTGATGATGGTCTCCATCACCTCCTCCCAGCCATATGCCTTCACAGAGTGGATGTTCTCCACAATCTCAGAGGTGAGGGCCAGGCGGCGGCTGATCATCCCTGCTCGTTTCACCCTGTTGACGGGAGACCGATTTTAAAACACTCAAAGCAGCATCACACATGCACAAATGAACATTTCTGTATGCATGCAGAAACATACAGCCACTATCAGGGTTTTTCCTGCATAGAGAATTGCGAGGCAGCTGCCTCCATCAAATTTTGTGCCGCCTCCACCTCCAGACAAAATTCTAGTCCAGTGGACATTGCTTATAGTGATCATGTTTGTCCTGGGCCAAATTCATCACTATAAAATTGATTACTATAACTGACTTGCGTAGCTTCTGGATGACAGTCCCAGAACTTGAGGAAAAGGTAACGTAAATACATAAACTTCCAAACATTAGGGCACTGAATAATCACAAGTTAGGTTTGCTTCTTATGTAAATGGTTCATGTTGTATGTTGTGTTGATAGTGTGGCAGTGCTTCCCCACCGATGAGGTCCCATCTTCTGTGAGAGCCAGGCCTGGATGATACCCAGCAGGGTCAGAGCTGCCAGGGCGCAGAAGCCGTTCACCTCGATCAGTTCCCATATCAGACCCACACACAGGATACACTGCAGAGGGGTGATCCAAACAAAATGGGCCAGACCCAGGCTCTGGAATACAAACAAACACACAACATGAGTGTAAGATGGACTATGACTTTTAATACAGGAGAAGTATCTGTACACATTCCGATGACGAGACATTCTTTTGCACCTGACCACAGAAAGGTCAGGTTCAAGGAAAACTCCATCAAATAAATTACACTCACTGCCTGTAGGCTTGAAAAGAGGCCAGCAGCGTTGATAAGCTTGGGGGAATCTCTGCATCTTATAGGACAACAGACATGACCTTAGGCTTATATAGACTGAAAAATAATTATATGGTAGGAATGATGTCATCATGCATTACTTTGAAATCAGAAAATCTTATAATGAACAAATAACTTTTGTAACCAATAACAATGGGGAGAGACAATCTATAGCTTATTTTGATTAACCAATCATCGTTTTAGAAATGACTTGGTTATAAAATAGAATTACTACATTGTAAAAAAAATTGCATTGCCTGATTGTGGTATTTACAGCATGCGCATTTACTTTATTTGTATTTATTTAAGAGACGGTTCCTTATCGCTGTACATAAAAATGTGTGGACTGCAATAGGATGTATGTAAGATAAAACTGACAGACTACAAAATACAACATAGAATGACAATGTGAAAGTCCAGTATTAGTGACGGTAGAAAATTAAGACACAAAGAAAAGAAGGAATGTATCACTACCAGTTAGCACTGTGCTGGTGAACAGTAGATGACTCTGTAGGTGAGGCACTTTTACAGTTCTCACCTCAATAAGTTGTCACCGTTTGATCCACTCACCTGAAAAGCAAAAACTCTACTTCTGCTGAATATCAACCAGCCTCCTTTTAACAAACACATGTCACAGTCACACACAAAACTAGACTAGATAACGCCTACCAGGAGACAGTGGTGCTTTAGCCAGCCCACATGCAAGCCAGGTGATAATTGTCTCAAAGTAGGTGGCAGAGTGTTTCAACATTCAGCGCCTCAGTGAGACCCAGCAAACACACACACACACACACACACACACACACACACGCCCTCTAGCTATGTTGTCTTGCATAATAAGAAATGTGTCTTTCAACACTTTGCTTTGTACACACACCTAATTGTGTTTAAATGTGTGTGTATTGATCCAGATCATTTGTCCTCCAATTGTCCTTCAGTAAATACACTGTGTTAATGGTAATAAAATGGATATATTGAAGTCAGTCAGGGTGTGAACTGTCATTGTTTTCATTCAGTGACAAAAACCTCTCCCAGGTATTCATGAGTGGAAAACTACTGAATGGCTTTTTTGACCTTTCAGGTAACTGAATGTCTGCACCCAAACAGTATGCAAGTCACATTCAAATTAAACATTGTTTCCATATATATTCACAGCATAAAAATACATAATGGTAAATAATATAATAGTCAACTTCCTAAAATGAAAGTCTGATTTTGCGATGAAGATCATGAAATGTGTTTTCACTTTGTCCCATCACCTGTGATGAGATGTAAAAGCCAAATCCAGCAGAATAATGATAATATACTGTATAATAATATATATAACTGGACTTCTGCTAGTTTTCAACTGTATTTTTATGGTGGGACTCCACTGGAATACTGTTGTATTGTTCACAGTTTTAAAAAGCACTCACATTTTGAAAGTGAAAGTGAAATATGTATATATCTCTATGACCATACAAAAGCACTGAAAATGTTTACCATAGTGTAACTAGCATACTGGCTAACTACCCAACACTAGGGAAAACTCCAGTACATAGACGGTCCCATTACACAGCTGACTATTTTTTCTTTTCAACTTCAGTCAACAAACTGCAACTATAAAAGCAATAATACAGTTGTACAATGTTTGTGTAGCAGTAGTTTGTTTTATGAGCCAGAACAGAACTGCACACACTAAATATGGTCCCTGACATAACATGTCATGAAACGAACAACCTGAGCAACAAATCATGATGATGAGACAGATTATATGAGAGGAAGCCACAACACAATCTGGCCACAATCAGTTGTAGCGACGGAGAACTTAAATCCCTGTACTGAACTGAACTATTTAGAGAAAAAGAGCCATGCTTGGAGCAGGTAACAGCAGTCTGACACCTGAGCTCTTGTCTCACAGGGACTATTTTACACACTTTATTTGAAATGTTTCCATGTTTTACATCAACATCCAACATTGTAACGTTATATGACAGATATAATTGAAAACCAGTTAGACCCTTTTTAGAAATCAATACACCTGCATAGACCATCATACATCCGGATACTGTCATGATCATGCAAACAGTATTCCATTTAAACACCATATTTAAAATGTAGTCAAAAGCAGAACACTAAACACTAACTAACAAGACTAAAATGTAATAGTGAGAATGACTCAGTAGAGAACATACTTCTGCCAAGGCCTGACAAGTCAATTAAAGTCAATGAAAGTACCAAAGTACACACCCTCATAGATATCAGTTCCCTAAATATGCCTGATGTTTCTCATTTAGATCCCAGAATTATTCCCTGAGAAAAAACCTTCCTGGATCCATCCCCTGATCTGGATCTGAATCAAAACTGAATCTGTTCTTCCCTAACTAAGAGACAAAAAGGTAGGTAACAAAAAGCAGCATTCAACCATTGATTGAATGACATGACCTTACATTACTCTAAGCAGCAGTTCATTGGATTGTGTAATGGAAAGAAAAACCTGCTGCAGCGTACATGCAAATTAACAAAATGTTTGGCATGTCTCACCTCATCCAGCTTGTTGAGGTGGGCGGACATTAGACTGACCAGTTGACCGGTGCTGATCTTGTCCAAGACACGGCTGGATAATTTCAATGTCTGAAAAGGTCAAAGGTCAGGGATCAGTTGAAGCGCAAAGGGATAAAGTGAATTGGACGGTGGGAAGCCAGTGACACATGACAAAACTTTGACACCAGGCTGTCACGCCCCTCAAAGCAGCCTGAGGATTACCTCCCAGGGTTCAAACAATGCCTCTGTGCCAATGGTAAATGTTTCGGGAGATGTGACACTTGAAACTTCAGAGGGAGCTAATTTAACATTTATTCTCAATTGTATCTAAATGGCACATATTGTAATGGATTTAAATCAATATCTAAAAAATGTCAACATTTCAGAAATAA